ATGTTTTGCGTAACTTGTTTTTGAGGAAAAATTTGATCGACCTCCCAAGTCTCGTGTTTTTTCAGTGTTGTGATGATGATTAAAATTCAAATTCAAATTTCTTATCTTTCTAAATTATAGTCAAAACCATTTTATGTTATATATTCATTCCATAGTCAGCAAACATTTTTTTTAGTAACCCGCAAATCAAGCAGAAAACAAGTGGTGAAAGTTGAAATGATATGATAACTGATTCTCGGCATTAATTTAGATAAATCTTATCCTTTAGATAAAGACGCAATTTAATTGTATTTGTATGGTAGATTAACAAACTTTTCCTAATCGTGTAGGAGATAAAAAGTTGCCAACCAATAAACAGTGCCATTCACTTTAACCAGAAAAATCAACTTTTGGATCTCAAGCTTTGCCAAACTCCCTAAACGAACGCTGTAACTGGTGAAACAAGACTCGAGCAGAAAAGAAAATGAAATCAGAAATAAAAATGTTGATCCATTTTCACTCGACGAAAGAATACAAATGATGTCCCGACTCTACCGTGATAGTTGTTTGATGATGGCCAAACAGTTTTGGCCCCAAAAAAAACTACACTTTTGAAGAGTATAACAAAAGATTGAGAGGAAAATAATACAGGGCCTAAAGAAGAGAGTCGGAAGAATTCAGGCAAGAGCTCATTTAGAAAATCTTGAAGAGCAAGCCACCATGGGCAGCAAAGAAGGGAGCAAACACGAGTGACTCAACAGCCATGAGCTTGATGAGAATGTTGAGTGATGGGCCAGAAGTGTCCTTTAGAGGGTCACCAACAGTATCTCCAATCACAGCTGCCTTATGTGCATCCGAGCCTTTTGGACCAAGACTACGAGCATGTTCTGAAGCACCAGCCTGTTCTTGCCATTAGGTGTTGTTACCACAATATTTGTATATTAACTCGGATAAAATTGGCATTCAAATTATCCTTCCTATCCTATAAAAACAGAAAAACGGACAATGAGACAACATTTACCTCGATATATTTCTTGGCGTTATCCCAAGCACCACCTGTGTTGGATGCAGATATAGCAATCTGTGGTCACATAAAAAAAATCCCTTAGGCGAGAATGCAGAAAAAATATGTAGCAAAAAACTCTAGATAATACTTTTGACCTTCATTCGGATTTGACATATACCAAGTAAAAGTATTCCAAATCTATCCATAACAATAATACTCATTCAACGTCGGGGTAAATCTGCTCTCTCGTGTTGCTGACTCTTTGTCTCGACTCTTCTCGGACCAGGATCTGATCTTTTGGTGTTATTTACTGATGTTGTTT